GCATTGAAATAGGTACGCTCGTCCGGCATTGTGATTTTTTCCCAAAACTTCATATTTAGCACTTTTTATTGGAACACTGAGAATTCTTCTTTTTAATGATATAGTGTAACATATGTAAAGTAGGGTTATATGCAATATGGTGTTTAAAACTATATGACATCTTTCTAGGAAAATGATATAATAATAAGAAATTGACATTTTTGAAACCAAAATGTTTCAGTCCTTTCATGCATTCCGTCAGTGAAGTCATGAAGAGAGTGCTTGTCAGTCTTGGAGTTTTGACATTCTTCTTCCTAGCAAATGGAACAGGTATTTTCGTTTTAGCGAAAAGATTTTTTGATGTAAATTAAATTTTCAGAGGGAATATATGGAAGACTTCTGGCAGCTGAAGAAGATGGTTAGCAGTCTTCTTCCATTGATATGGTATTTATATCTGGAAAGGAGGGTTTTCAGAGGGAACATGCGAAGCACTTTTGGATGCTCTACGTGATCGTTACTGTTACTACAAAGGCAGCACACTTGCTATCCGTCCCCACAATGTTACAAATGGAACGATAGCTAGGAAGTGCAATGCTCGTGGAATACTAAGCGGTACGCTAGGGAACTCTAAAGAAAATAAGATGCAGAAGCAGAGATATGGCATTAAGAGAAATAACAAAAACCATTAAAAATTATTTCTTAAAGCATAACAATTTTTTCATGCTGCGGAGATCTTTTTGGTAGGTTTGATTGATTTTTAGCAAAACAAACTGTTCAACCAAATCTTTGTTAGTGTGATGGTAGGAAGAGATTTGAATGTATTCTTTCGAGAATAAAAACTCTGATCTGCTTGTTGTTTCGTAGCAGCGAATATGAGCGATTTTTTTACGTTCTCTGAAGTTTTTTTTTCAGAAAATTCGACATTCATTTGCATCAATGGGACTTGGACTCCGTGGGGGATATGCGAGAATATTACTGCCAGTACCTCTCTCTTGTAAGGTCTAGATGAAATAAACTAAAAGATGTTAGTTGCTCACTTAGCCGCTACTTTCAATAAGATCTAATGATTTGGTGGTTCAAGGAGATTAGGAGGCCAAAGAAGGTATGGGTAATGACACAAAGCTTTTTTTCTGTACGTGTTATGTGACTCTCTGCCTATAACAAAATTAGCCAATTCTTTTCCTGTGATTTGGGATTACCAGTTTACATATGCACTTAAGCATCAAAACTCTTTGCTGCGTAAGCATGATTAGATCATCGTTTATGCTAAACTCATTCTTTTATAAAAGAAATAGTTTTATATATAGGAGTTAGAAAGTCAATGAGAGTATACAAAAGAGAGGCTAAACTTTTTCATAAATGAGCGCTGTTTCTTTGCATTCCCTCATGAAACTGATTCATTTCTTCTAGCATAGACGTAGACCTGTAATCAGTTATTAAAATCCTTTGCAATAGCAGCCTGTATCGATGTATCTTCTTGAGAATGCAATATGGACTGCTTTCTCACTTTGAGTATGACAGAACGCGTAAAAATTATTTACACTAACAGTCATGGAAGCATTCTATGTTAGATTTACTTCTGGAGCAAAACGATATGTAAGGAGAGTAGCCTGTCAATATCTTTTCCACTGTTTTTCCCTTTACTGTATGTTTTACTATATGTGCGAATTACTTTGGAATCTTATCAGAACAATGATCTAATGTATGATGGTTATGAAGTATATTTATTGGGTTTCTTCATATTGTTAAAAAGAAAGTTCGTTCAAATATTGGTAGTTGTTCTTGTTTTCCATATAATTCTTGCTGTTATATCATATCATTTTGAAGGCATTCCTTCCTTTACCCTAAACATTTCTAGAGGTGAAATGCACACCAAAACTGCGAACTCAAACAGTTTAAAGGTGTAATCAAAGTTTGACCAGGAAGCGGAAGAGCTCCAATAAACCTATGTATTAGACCTGTACTGCTAGGACTGCAATGTACAGTAAGGGTTCAAATTTTGCG